GACTGCGACCATACCAGAGGCTACCAAATCTTGCTCTTCATATCTTTAATAAAACTACTATTTATTTAAGCATGATTGACTACCCACTTACAGAATAAAGGTAGCGACTTAAATAAAGTGAAAAAAGCTACAGGAATCTTTTAATATCTTAAAGTAATTGTCAATCATTTCTGGCACATGTTTGCCTTTTCGACAATCCCACTAAAAGTGTGATTTGTGCAAGGCCCGGTCTGTCTTGAACATCTCTTCTGTCTTGTGGTCGGCTTGTACCCAAAATGCACCATTCACTCATAATATTTGGGCACAGCAGGTCGTAATAAATGCACGGAACAAATGCTGTAGCACTTGATTTTGATTACGGCCTTCTTGCCTCTTTTAGACTTTTCATCTTACTCTACTTCAGCCACTTTGTCATTTTACGTGTTTGCAGGCAAAGTCGTTTTAAAAAGCAAACTTTATTCGTATTTCGGAATGAATAAACTTCTAGAATGTCGGTAATTCTCGAATAATGGCTTAGTAAGCTTGTGATGTTATGCCCTAATTTCAAACTCAAATCAAGCAATAGTACTTGCAGCTAACTGTCGTCTGAAAAGGAGGGTAGAAGTGGTACCACGGGACAGTAAAGTTCCTTCTCTGACTTCCGATGGGAGCAATTTGTGAGAAAGCAAGCGTCTTTTTATGCAGTGGCCAGGCTAAGTTGGTTAAGGGTGCCACAATTCTATGAGGCCTCGGCGTGCCAGTGAATTCCGCCGGACCTCACCTCTCAAAACACTGTTGCTCTTCTGGCGGGATTCGAGCTCAGGTTCGACGTCCCGTCGATCTCATCAGCCAGCTTCAACCTGCTTCAACCAGCCAATTGTCCCCATTGCGCTACACACTCACAAAAGCCAGTAAGCCAGAGGTCAAAAGTGACTTTCCAAGAAGGAAAGTTCTTTCTGAACGAGTACTTTCAGTCTATGAGATGGATTTCGAGACTGTCAGAAGATCTGATAAAAGAATTGTATCCACCCTATTTCGTTGAAAGAGATGAAGGAATAGTCGTTCAATTTTCCCACAATTTTTATTGCATTTCATATGGCCTTGCATCTTTTCTTTACTAAACCAGACTAACTTTTCGACGTCAACACGGATTGTGAAAGTGTAGCCCATTCGAAACTGCAAAAAACTCCAGTCCGTCAGTCAGATTACGAACGCGAATTTCTTCTTTATGTCCCACTTTGTGTTGGGATTGCCATCGAATCAGGCTTTTATCACCATCTCACACTCGAGCACACTACTTATATGCTAATAGAGTAGGTTGTCGAATAAAAGCTAGCCTTTACACAAATCTCTCGTGCGCTGTGACCCAGCGACACATAAATAGCATTTTGGTGCCGCGACGACTTGGAAAATCGGGGTTCGACTCTTATTGGGTATTTTTTGTCAAATTTCCCAATCATTCCTTCATCACATTATGTGACCCAGAATGAATGGATGTCTTATCCACGACAAGGGCATATCATGCTCCAGAAAGTCTCAGCTCACATGTTCATGATCCACTGGCACTGGCGGCTGCTGATGAGAGCCGATAAGACGACCCATCGACTTGACAACAAAGCCGAGTCCTCTTCTCTTCTGGCCCTGACAACCAACTCTTTTATCATGTTTTCGTGTATAATGTGGCTGTTGAGACCATCAGTAGGTCAAGTTTATCATACACATTGCCAACATGTCATTTAACAAAACCGGTAGTTGAATTGTTTCACAATCAGTTGAGTAGACCTTACGTTTCCATCCAAGTCCGCATCGCCTTGCTTGCCCAAAAGCTATTTTCATCTCGGCTGGACTCGACTGGACTGCAGTTTCGAGCTGGCCTCATCAGCACCCTCAGCGGGACTCGAACTGGCTCATGGAAATGCCAGAGGGTCACGAGTGCAGATGCGAATTTCAATCATTCTCGGTTGCGATTGTCGACGAGGCAAAGTTGTAATTGCCACATCAGACGATTGCATCACTTTGGAATGGTTGTCAGAATGGTACCATTTTGTTGGACGATGACGGACGAGATGTTGGCATGTTTTCACCGGAATCGAGGGAAATTTCCTCGCAAACAATGCCAACATGAAGGTTACAGTAAAAACAATAAAGAGCGGATCAAAAGGAGTCTGCAGTCGTCATCTGGTTGGATCGACCAAATTTTTTCACTCGAAATGAAAGTGAGCTGACCAATTATGCAACACTACTCATTTGTCATTTATGAGTAGTCCTTTTGCTATTCTTTTCTATCTATTACTCCTTACCCATTTTCATCTTTCGTGACATCTTCTGAAATCGCCATTTTTTAGTTCTTTCGTTCTTCACTCTCCATCCCGATTCTTTCTTTGTTGTCTTCCCTTTCAGGTGACGGTCGAATTCACTCCGTGCCCGAATCCGAGATCCGTCCAGTGTCCGGGTCTGCCGAGCCCTTTCTTCGCATTCGACAGCGGGTCAACGGAAGCCGGTCTGCAACCCACATTTCCGACGCAACACTCCGTCGCCACAAACTCGGCCGTGGTCATCGACGCAGGCAGAAGAGACCAGTTGGCCGACATTGCGGCCGATCGCTTGTCCGGCTTCATCTTGGCCGCCTTGACGACCAACTCGTCTCGACTGACGCCAGATCTGAAGAAGATCGTGTCGGCGGTCGGCGTCAAGGCCAGTCCGATCCAGTCGCCTCGTGACGGCCCCGCCCGTCCGAGTCCCCAAGGACACCAACTAGGCCCGCATTCTGACTCTTCCGGCCCCGACGGCCGCAACAACCTGGGGCTGTATGTGCTTCTGTGCGCGTTGGCAGTCGGTAAATGACTTGACAGCCGCGTAGGCGACTAGCTGCTCACTCAAGCATGACTGACTGCTTTTCCAACTACTCATATGGGATTTAAGTAGCGTCATCGATCGCAATGGCTTATTTTTCATGTATAAGTAGGTTTTATAGACGATCATTAGATCGGGCAAATCAGATGTAGTCACCCTAACTCATAGAAAGTGATGAAGGAGCGTTGGTAGAATTTAGCCAAAATCGCACGAGTAGAACTTCGCATGGCCTTTCCTCCTTTAAAGTATATTTCCTTCCCGACTGCGTTTCCAACTTGGCCTTAAACCGGACTCATCAGCCCTACCAGCTGGACTCGAACACGGGTTGTGCTAGTGCAGCCCATTGCCTCGACGCCTTAAACACTCCGTCAATCTGCCACGAGTGTTCTTGAATCACAGGGCAGATGTACATTTCAATGCGAGACATGCCCCATTGACACCACATTTTTATAGTAAGTTTATTGCTAAATACAGCACATATTTTCTATTTCAGTTGACAACATTACTTACATTCTAATTAAGTAGCATGTTGAGACTAGCAGTAGCTCTTGAAAGTGACCTCGTGTAATGTGTGTGCGATGCTATTTCTCTATCTATCTATATTTAT